AAAGTTGTTGCATGCTAGTGATGTCTGCAGGCTGCAGCAGTTAAGTGTCTGCATCTGTTTCCCTCCGCAGCGGTCCCTGTCACCCAAGTCCATCTCTCCTCCTCCTTCTCCAGAGGTGAGTACTGCCAGGTGCTGTCCCTTGCACAGCTGCTTATCACCAGCATGGGATCAAGGGGCTGGCCCATGGAGCCAGTGGACTAGACAGCCTCCCACCTCTCTCCTCTGATACTGGGTCTCCCCTTTTTCAGGTCATCCGGGACTGGATGGAGAACAAGTCTCCAGGAAGTGCCTCCCAGGCAGCTAGTCGCCGGACTAGCAGCATGGCCCGGGCTGGAGTGCACCACTTCCACCGACCTGGTATGCCCCACACCCTGCCATGGGCTCAGGGGATGTGATCCCCTGATGCCTGTGCCCAAGCAGAAACCCCAAATCGCTGCTTCCCTGCCTCGCTGACAGGCGGGATTACAGCCAGAACTGAATTCAGCCCCAAGCTCTCTCCTCCCCACCCATCCAGTATGCAGCAAGGGGAAAGCTGCCTGCAGTGAAAGAGCCTCTCTCTCCTGCTCCTTGGCTCTTTCCTTCAGTGATGTGTATCTCCCTGTCTTCCCCTGGCCCCTGAACCTGTCCCTTCCCCCAGAGGTGGACAAGATGGAGCTGAACATCTACAAGAAGCCCCCCATCTACAAGCAGAAAGGTGAGCATGGCTGCGCCCCAGCTGAGGTTTAGGACACACGTCCGTGGAGATGGCAACCCTCCATTCTGCCTCCCTGTCTATTCCAGAGCACCCGGTCGGAGCCCAGCATGGCAAGCACATGATTGAAGACCAGATCATCGAGTCCTCCAAGTTCCCAGCAGCTCAACCCCCTGACCCCAACCAGCCGGCCAAAATCGAGACAGACTACTGGCCCTGCCCTCCCTCCCTGGCAGTCGTAGGTAGGCAACAGCAGGGTGGTTTATGCTCAAGCTAAGCCAGGTTGGTGTGTGAATGGCAGCCTGCTAAGAGAAACAAAACGGGTGCTGGTGACTCAAAACACTGTCATTGTGGGGATGGAGGGACCAAAAAGCCAGGACTCTGATTGTGTGCGACTGCAGCAGGTCCCTTGAGACACTGGAAAGCCCTGAAGCTGGGGTGACTGCCTCCCTGAATCCCCCTGCCACCTGGATGGCACACAGGGTGGTATCAGTGCTTTCTTGGCTCTCCTCTTCTCACTTTGCCTCCCCAGAGACAGAGTGGAGACGGCGGATGGCCTCCAAGAAGGGTGAGGAAGAGGACGAGGACCTCACGGAGGAGATGAAGAACCTGCGTGAGCTCCAAAAGCAGGAGCTGAGTAAGGTACGGGGAGGCTGGGACCATTGGGTGCTCGGGGATGGTGCCAGGGGTCTGCTCTGGCAGAGACTGATCCCTGACCCACATGCTCCCTCTCCTCAGGTCACCTCCAACCTTGGGAAGCTGATTTTGAAGGAGGAGATGGAGAAGTCTCTCCCCATCCGGAGGAAAACCCGCTCACTCCCGGACCGAACACCCTTCCACACCTGTGCGTGGGGCTGGGAGTAGACCAGATTGCCCTCCCCCTCCCCAAGGCCAGGAGTCCTTCCCCAAGCCTCTCCCCGGGGTGGGATCCATGCTATGGAGATGCCTACTGGGACCTCCTTACAGTGCCTCTTACCCAGGCTGGGGTAGCAGAGAGCTGGGAGCTCCCCTAGTCCAGCCCAGTTGCTCATCCCCTTGGGTAACCCAGCCCCCTGCAGTGCTTTTTCCTGCAAGCAGCATGGGGGTGACTGCATTTCTTTCTCTTTTTCAGCTCTGCACTTGGGGAATTTCAAGTCCTCTTCCCTTCCTGCCTCCGGGAGAAGCACCCTCACCAGGGTAAGGGAAGTTTCTCACCACTCCTGATGGCACCAAGCTGAACTGCTCCAAACTGGAACCCCTTCCTGTCCCCATGCTGGGTGGGTGCTGCCCCACACGGGGATGGGCTGTATGCCTCTGGGGCAGGCAGAAGGCTTCCAGTGGGGAAAGGACCAAAGCCAGGGGGAGCTGCTGGCTCTGAGACCTGCTGGTGGGGGAACCCAGGCCTCTGTCACCCTTTGGGGTCACTGCTGACACCATCCCTTGTCCTTTTGCAGCTGCAGTCAGCCGAATTCAGCCCAGCGGGCAGTGAGAGGGGGAGCCCAGGTAAGAGAAGTGCAAGGTTGCAAGGACAAGGGGCAGTGCTGCTACCCACTCTGGCCACTCCAGGCCAGCTCCCACATGCAACACAGCTGTCAGGGGCACTTTGTCATGAATCCCCAGGGCCAAATGTGCAGCAAAGGGAACTCCACCCAGCCCCCTGGGCTTCAGTGGGGTCTGGTTCCTGCTTGCCACAAGCCTGTTGCTGCACTGCTGTCCCTTGTGGACACAGTTCCCACATCATGTAACATCCATGGGGCAGTGGTACCCACCTTGTGGCCATCCCCGCAGAAACCCCCCACCCCGGGTTGAGAGGGCCACAGAGGCCCCACTGGCCTTGCATGTCTCTATACAGTGAGGCATAATATACAAGCTTAGTGTGCCACTGCCTATGCCAGTTGTCATCCATTGAGGACCAAGCCGCATTGCTCCCTGGCCAGGGATGGAGGTGGGGTTGATGGCCATGTACCTTGTTCCTTTGTGTTTTACAGGCCTGCAGGTAAGCTCGCGCCTGACTGCAGGAGTGGAGACACAGCAAGAGGTGGGGTGTCCTGGGCCAGGGAGGGGAGAGTGCCTCTCCCTTCCCTGTAGGGTCAGCATCCTCCTGCCCCACTGGATGCCCGAGGGAGAGAGCTGGTGCCAGGTCTCCGATGGAACTGCTGGTGGGGGTGGATGCTGGCAGGACAGGGGCTGGGGCGGGGCAGCGGGGATGGGGGTCCGGGGAGCCCCGGAGCTGTGGGAGGGGGTGGGAGGGGACACTTGGGGGCCGCCACGTGGCTGCCCATATAAACAGGGCATTTTGCTGCCTGGCTGGAGAGGCTGCAACATTGCCTGGCTGCGAGGCTCCATAACAACCTAGAGGTAAGGGAGGAGCTGTAGGGGATGGCTAGGAGGCTCCCGGTCCTGGGCATGACCTAAAACTGCACCCTGCCAGGAGTGGGTGGCCTGGTGGGGTTCTCAGTGGCGCAGGAGCCCCCAGGAAATGCCAGACCAGTTACCATCCCAGTGAAAGGCGGGTTGGAGTTGCCTTACCCCCAGCTCCCACAACTGGGTGGGTCACCTGCTAGTAGGGACCAGAGGGCAGACCCCAAGAGATAGAGTGGGGCTAGAGGCTCAGAGACCTGATATAGAGATTACCTTTGACTGGTCAATGCTGGAGCCAGGACCAGGACGGTCAAAAAGGCCAGGGGCCCACCGCAAAGGATGCCCAGAGCTAAGAGGGCCTTGAGTTTCTGACTGGCCTTGGAGGTGAGGCCAGGGCCAGTATAGTGAAAGGTCCCGGGGGGACCACACCCGAGAGGGGAAAATAGTTTCAGGGAGCTAGATGGCCTGAATGAGGGTGGGGTAGGCTGTCTGATTGGAGGGATTTTGGAGGGGTCTTGATAGGAGGATTCTGGGGCCCAGTGCAGGGCCGGTGATGTGGATAACAGCTGGATGCCATCTATGAGGCATGGGCTACCGTGTAGGGGAGGTGTGGAGCTGCAGAATAGTGCCCCCTGGCATTGGGGCAAGAAATGGGCAGCCTCCTGCTTAATTAACAACAATTAATTAATGATCATCAAGGCATGGCAGGAGAGAAGGCGAGCGGTTAGCCCAGAAACAGGTGGGCGGGCCACAGGGAAATCGGCCCAGAGGAGGCCCCCCAGTTACAGAGAGAGACACTGCAGAGGTGCAGGGATGAGGCTGGAGCACTTCTCTCTCCAGTGCCTGGAGGGAAGCCTGTCACCCCAACTGTTCTAGTTCCATGAAGGTGGGGTGGGGAGAGGGACTCTGGTATGAGAAGCTCTGTGCCCCGGTCCTGTGGCTTTGCTCTTTGCAGAACGGCCAGAGGGGGAGGATGGACAGAGGGAACTCCCTGCCCAGCATGCTGGAGCAAAAGGTAAGGGCCATGGCTACAGGGCCATGATTCAGATGATACACACCCTTGCCAGTGGCTGGATTGGCTGCACAGAGCCTTATAGGAAGATGACTCCTGCAGGCTGGGGTGTGGATTTACCCCAGGACAAAGCATGCTGATGGTTGCAGGAGGGGCATGCGTCAGTGGCATGTGCCGCCGACCGCCTGAATTGGAGAGGTGTGATGGGATGTGTGCCCTGGCAGGCTGGGCAGTGGTGATGCAGGGGAAGATAGGGCAGGGACCATCTAGCTAACCTTTACTGTCTTGCTTTCAGATTTACCCCTACGAAATGCTGATGGTGACAAACAGGGGCCGTGTGAAGCTGCCCCCAGGAGTAGACAGAACCAGGCTAGAGGTATGAATGGAGCTGACCCCCACAGGGGACTGGGTGTGGAGAGGGAGGGCAAGGACATAGCAGAGAGTGAAGCCAGGCTTCAGGCCCAGGGGCTGCATCTGTACATGAGACCCCGATTTGAACCTGCACCTTTATAAAGCTCAGTCATTGCATCTAGTTTTAACCTGACACAAGAGTCCTTGCTGGGGCTACATGGGGTGAGCAACTCAGTTACAACCATTTCAGTTAAAGCACCCTGTGGGTGTAGATGGGCTTAGGCACAGGGTTCGTCTCCCTTGGGAGCCATGATTAGCAAGTCATGTTGGCAGAAGCACACACGTGTTGACACGCATGCCTATGGAACCTGGAGTAAAGACGTCTCCCCTGCTCTGTCCCCCTTGCAGAGGCACCTGTCCCCCGAGGATTTCCTGCGTGTCTTTGAGACGTCCCCAGAGGAGTTCAGCAAGCTGGCACTGTGGAAGCGGAACGAGCTGAAGAAGAAAGCTTTCCTGTTCTGAGCCCGGGCCCAGGCCCGGCCCCTCCTAGCTGTGATCTCAGTTAGTGTCACACACAATCCGCATTGCAGCCGCTTTAGGGCTCTTGAGCCGGTTTTAACTAACAAACACCTCCCTCCCCTCCCGGGAGAGCACTGATCCTTTGCTCCCCCGGCTCTGGGGGCCGGGGGATCTGTGGCCCTGCACCCCTCCACTCTGCGCCCCTCACTGGTATCACTCGCTAATGCCTGATGGTCTGGCTGGCTGGGGTCCCATCTCTTGGAGGCTCAGCCCATGGCTGCTCTTAATGGAGCAGGGGGCTGGGGGAGCTAAGCAAGGCAGGAGGAGCAAAACCCCCAACCCCAAGAGGGCTCAGCAGGATGGCACTGAACTGGATGCAGAGGGGCAGAGGGTGCAGGGGGGATCTGGAGGGGAGCAGCGGTAGGCTTGTTGCTGTGCCCCCTTGGGCTGTGGCAGGATGAAGGGGGCTGTGGCAGCCTCTTGCAGCACAGCAATTGAGATAGGATAGGGATGCCCAGGTGTTGCAGGGCTCCAGGCATTGCCACAGCTGCGTGTCCCCAAGCTGCGCAGCAGCAAGGGTGTCACCTGTGTCACCCCTGCTGTCTCTGTCAGAGCCAGCCCATTGGAGAGCATCTGCCTGCCTGTCTGACTGTCCCCTCCACTATCTGCAGCCTGCTCCCTTCCTCACGCCTTGCTCCCCAGGGCTCTGCTCGTGAGCCCCTAGTCCTCTTGTCCTCTTGCTAGACAAGCTCCCCCATGCCAGCCTCCCCTGGGTAGTGTGACCAAAGCTTCTACCCCCCCTGGCCCCAACTCTGAGTGTGAGTGGGCCTGGCCCTCGCTAGCTATGGACTTTGCAGCAGACCCTGTGCTCAGCCCCACACCAAGCCAGGCTTCTGCCCTGCTGTGCGCCGGAGATTGCCTGGGCAGTGGGTGAGCATGGGCTTGGGGTGCAGCCCACAGGCAGGCTCAGCCTGGGCAATTCTCTGTGCCATCCCTGGCAGCTGCCTTGCTCTGTGCCCCTCCAGCTCCCCAGGGACAAGTTCCTCCTGAAGACCCCTCACAGAGGGGTCCACACAACCAATACACTGCCACAAGCTGCAGGGCACCACAAGCCCAGGGGCCATGCAACCAGAGGGCTGATGGGCACGTCCTGCCTGCTGCGCCCCGGCCTGATCCTACCTGCTCCTAGGAGGGAGCTGGCGATGCAAGCCAATCAGCTGCCAGAACATTAGCAGAGGACATGGCCCAGAGGAGACGGAGGCATGGCCATGCCCCAGGGCAACAGCTGCCTTGGGGCAGGCCAGCGCACGGCAGCAGAGGGCTGTTTCCCTGCTCCGATGTTCAAATCCAGGCACACAGGGAGCTCTGGCTTCCTGAGTGCAAGTGTAGGGCTGACCCGAGCTCAGAGCTGCTGCCTTCCTTTTGCCCGAGGAAGGGATGCATAGCAGGACATCAGAGCCTACTTAATGCACTTTGGAGGATGCTTGTGTTTGATGGGCCAAGGAGCAGAGAGGAAGGCTCGCGGATGAGCGTAGCCAGCAGAGAGGATGGTAGGGCCAGATCAGTGTCCAGGAAGCTGGCAGGATGAGCTAGGGACAGCTACCTGCCCTGATGCTGATTCTCAGTGAGTTGTTCTGCGTGGGGGAAAAGGCCCACGGCCACTTCTCCACCCATCACAGAGACTGCCTGGAGCAGGGAGCTGTGCAGAGCAGGCCCGGGTCTGGCGGTGCTCCCCTTGCTCGCTAGCCGGGGAGCCCAGCTCCTAGCCACCCCAACGCTCCTAGTGAGCTCCCTGCAGCTGCAGCAGCCAAGCTGCAAGGGGGAAAGAGCAGAAACGCCCCTTCTGGACCTTGCAGTGGGGGCTCCCCGAGCCAGGTGGTGTCCAGGGGCACAAGCCAGGCCTTCTGGTGCTGGCAGGAGGCTCAGCCAGCAGCCCTGCGCTCAGTGAGACGCCAAGACAGATCCCACGTCCCCGCTGGACTGGAGCCGCCCCGGGGAGCCGGAGCTGCCCCCCGCCGGGCAGTCTTTTTCGAAGGCAACATA